CGAGTCGAGTCGAATCAGTGGCGGATCTAGCCTGTTCGGCGCTTTCGGTGATAGAACTTTAAAAGCCATTACGTCACGTAAAACTTACGACGTAATTTAATCCTTCCCTAACCAACATAGAAGCCTCACAAAGATGATTCCATTCGCGCTGATCTATACTTCTTACTGCTTCAAAAAAAGTAGCTCCCTCACTCTGGCAAAATCCTAGATCCGCCACTGAGTCGAGTCAAATGCGAAGTTTTAAGAAATGTGTCGAGTCGAGCCGAGTCGAGTCGAGTCGAACCGAGTCGAGTTGAATTCGAAGGACTCGACTTTTTAAAAATTTGTTCATAATTCTTTCATTCGTTCCTCAGTATTAGTCATCGTCATTGTCAGATGAATAGAGATGAGACAATGTCAATTCATTCCAATGAATAGGTCAAACAAAACATTAAGATGAATAGACGGCTATAGACGGACGATGCTAAATAAACTAGAATGAATGGTACAGTACCATTGATTGTATTCAGTGCATTATTGACTGTTCAAAGATTAATTAGAATGCAATGACTTAATTGATCATCAGTCTATGTAAGTGATCGGCATGCGACGCGCAACAGATTTAGTAGCGTATTACATTGTTTCATTATTTGTCGCAAAAAGGTGATGGGACAAGAGTGATGCTAGTAAAATGACCAAATACTTAACTATATTTAGAATGTTCGAATTGACGAAATATGTTACCCATTCTATCTAACAAAATCGTTTCGAATAGTCTTGGAGCAATCATAAGAGGAAGAAATCGATCTGTAGTATTACCAAAACCTCGATCAAAAATGATTTGGAATCATCCGCGGCAATGCTTCCAGTCTCTGAAATCGAGTAAAAACTCGAAGAAACACTTCTATTTCTGACAGAGAAGCTTCGAAAATCGATAGAAAATAGAAGCAGTACATCGAGCCAGGAAAACTACGGATCTTTTCGATGACTTTCTGGTGTTTTGCTCTACAAAACCAAAATTGTACCGGCAACACATAGAAAAAACGTAAGTTTTCCAAATTTCAAATGCTGTTTCCAAGAAATTATCAGAAGTTTCTGGAGCTGATCGTTTCCTTTCCGTATGGTCCGATGTGGGTGTATCAACACTATGATACGAGTAAAACATGTGAATGAATTTCTTTTCATTCTGGATATTAAGAATGTACTTCTGAACATTCGACTTTGAATCGATACTCGACGGCTCGACCCGAGCCGAGTCGAGTTAGATGCTTTTTAGATGTATATCGAGTCGAGCCGAGTCGATTGAATGATTCAGTCAAGTCGAATCGAGTGGAATTTTTTTGACTCGTTTCGGTCTCTGGTATCCAGTCAATCATCACTCTTATTATGTCATCCATAAAATCAATGGATGACCACATAAAGTTTTTCTATGTTAGAGGGCTTGCACACTAATCGCCTGTTCCAGAATTAAAACATCATTCTGCTCTCAACTGATAGTTAAGTCCTTTTCAACTTATTTTGCCTACTGTATTTACACAAACAAAATCTCAAATCCGAAAATTTAAACGCTTTTTTACGATCTATAGATATTGAGATTACACATGAAGATGAAACAAATCGTGAACATTTAATAACAACATCATCAATTCTGAAATCAAATGAAAATAAAAATGTTGAAGCTATACTAGGTGCTTGTCAAAAGAGAAAAAAAGGCATGTTTAATCTACAATTGCTACTTAATCCTCAGTTTGCATAATTTTTTGCGAGAGTGCAAATCAGATTCAGCTAAAGTTCTTTGTATTGCCTCTAACGAACATTTTTCAGTGCATGATGATGGAAAAAATTATATTGACTGTCACATAAAGTTGAAAAGACACAACAACAACATAAATCATTTCGTATAAATCGACAATTGATAATATCAACTATGAAATTTAACAAGAAGGTTGAAGAAACAGCAGCTGCAGAAGGTACTTTTGTATACCATGAAGTGAAGTATAGTCATTCTTATTCATTTCAACAATATTTTATATTTTGCAATTTTGTTAAAATAAAAACAGAATGCCATAGATATGAGAAACGCTCAAAATCCTCATAAATGCTAAAAATCCGCAATAAAAAAAGTTTCCGCTTTTTCTGTTTTTTGTTTCAGCAATTTTCCGCTTTTTCGACTTCATGAGGTGGCATCCCTGGTGCCAAAGTAAAATATACAATATATTGAAGTTGTAAACTTTACTATCTTTTCATAATTTTGTCAATAAACGATATTATACTAATTCAGAAGCTGTTTCATCATCCAAATAGCAAAGAAATGTGACTATATCGAGATGAGGAAAAATCCAGCGCGAGTTTGATTGTTTCATATATGGTTTTTACTATTAATGTAAAGATACCATTTAGAACGCCATTCGAAAGAGCAGATAGTTTTGAAACATCACTATATATAAAAACAATTAAAATACAGAAGACTGGTCAAGTTTTATAAAAATAAGTTCTTTGCCATCTTTCAGTATTGCGTTTTTTATTTATCACAAACGAGATTAGGGTGTGGGTGTGGGTGGGTGTAGGATATGGATGTGGATATTTGAGATTATATAACAACACCCACACCCCGCACCCACACCCACAAAATGCGTAGAATATCAATGATAGTGAACGTTGAATAGAGATCAATGTTAATTTGTTTCAAGTATTTGATCAATATCATCTAATATAAGTGTAAGTTCAGTTTGTTCAGCGAGTAAATCTATTTCATTGATGTATGTTGTAAGATTTTGTGTATGAAAGACAAAAATTGTGAGGGCTTCAAGCCAAGATATTATATTAAGAAATCGTTGAACAGCTTGATAATGACCATATCTATAGAGAAGATATTTCCATGTTATTTCAGCATATTTATTTTGAATTTCTAATATAATAATTGGATCTGTTAACTCTGTTGAGATATTCGGAGAATATGAACAAGTATTTCCAGAAAAAGCAAACAATGAGAGTGCTAATTTAATCAAAACAATATCTAGATCGATAAATTTCATCGTCCAACGATAAATATCGACTGTAGGTTTTCCATACATAACTTCCAAAGTATTTGAGAAAATTTCCAGAGCAAATAAATGAAAATGTTGCACGACGAATGCACAACCCAGACAGGATACATTGTTTGCAACATTAGAAAGTGTTATCGAACGATTATCAAATGATAGTTTACGAAGATCATCATTGAAATGAAGATAAGTTCCTGTTGTTTCATAAATGCATGTTAAGAATTCTTGCATCAGTGATTGACAGCTTATATTAGTAGATTGTAGAACAGCAGATGTGTCTATTAAACATTGGCCGATTGATGAAAGCTTGCTTTCATTATAAATATGAAATAAATTGGAGAGAAGAGTCCATTGATCAGTAGTCAATAATGATCGATCCGATTGTAAAATTTCCTATGATGCTTTTTTTATTTTTGAGTATATGAAGTAGAGAACTGCTATGAAAAACATTTTTTTATTTTAATATTATTTTAACAAATAATAACAATNCCCACGGGGATGGGCAAAATAGTTCTTGACATCCCCGTAGGGGGATACGGGTATGGGTCGAAAATGACTTGAAAGATTTTTAAAAAGTTTTGATGAAAATATCGACAACACACACTGTCCGCATTAAATATAAAGTCTCAAAGACATTTCATCCATTGGCTGAGCCATGGGCCTGAAAGGGTTAATTAGTTCATATCTAAAAAATCGTATTTTACTACTTGTAGAAGTAGTTTATATCTAATGTGGAAAAATTTCAGTTACATTATACTTGTAATCATTACTGTTATTTCCTCGATTTCTTCTGCTCCAGTTTGAATATCAAAGATATTCGATTACACTAAACAAATAAATCGTAAGTTTTTAATCAATAGTTCATTATTATCCCATTGAATGAGGTCTTTTTTGACAAGTTCCAGTGTGTCTAAGAATGATCATAAGCGAAATAATATATGAAAAAATAGTACAGGTTCCACAGATTAAGAAGATAAATACATTCTGACTGCCAGCTAACGATACTAACAATCCATAGGACCTTATCAACTGTTACAACGATGGAAAAAATATCTATAATGCGTGATACTAAGTTTAATTGAATTTTATACATACTTTTCAGTTTTGTATACAAAATAATTCAAGTTTAGATAACAAAGACTGTAAGAGACAGGCCAAGAAGGGGATCTATATATGCGATTAGATTCAGACATCCTCCATAGCAGAGAACATTGTTTTGTTCTGAACAAAACATCTGTTATTATTTTTTTCTAGTTGATTGTTTCAAGTGTCCTTATTTATATGATGTTCATAAATTTAGCGCATGAATTGTTTTAATTATATTTTATAATTCAAGTGCTTATCTATTGGAAGAAAGTCATGCACTATGAACACACCTTATAGTCTGCACATGTCAAGTATATGAATAAAAAAAAAAGTTCGACTTAGAATTACGTATAAATATTTTAGTTCTAATCTGCTGTTTATGACAGAATCGTCGTCTGTCGAGAGTTAGTGCTATAGAGTCAGGTTTGATTTAAATACAAAGACAAAAAAATGAATGTCAAAAGAACTTGAATTTTTTGTTAGTGTTAACACGAAAAAGATTCATTCTATAGCAGTGTCAAAATTTGTTAATTTTATTCGTTTGTTCAATAGAATAAATTTGAACTTTAATATAAAAAAAAAGAAAAACTAACACGAATAAATTAAAATTTCTAAGGCATAGTACATAAATATTGCAGGAAATTGATTTTTATAGATGCTTTCAACGTAATAGCTCATAAACATTTTTCATTATTCACTTGTTTTATATTTATTTACTCGAGCGAATAGAATTCTTCTTCTCACTGTCAACCTTATTATAATGCATTAATTAATTGTTTTGGAAAATTTTAATAGAACAAATTTATTTGTTTGCTTTTTTTTTTTAAAAATTGAAATTATTAAATAATGACATTCTTTTATTTACCTTAAATTTAATACATGATCTTCATGATTACCCCGATTGAAATAAACATTATTTGGATAAATAATAAATGCTAAACTTATTAGAATAAATAATTCCATACTTTGAGTACCTCGATCAACTATATCACCATTAAATATATATGGATTTTCATTAGATGGTAAACCATTCTAGATAAATATGATTAATAAAAAAACAAAAAAATTAAAAAATTGAATAAAATTACTTTGTGAAAGATAAGCATTAAATCAGATAAATTACCATGTAAATCACCAACAACTGTAACACTTGTCGATTGATGTGTTGAAACAACATTGACGTTTGGTAAACGTTTAAGAATACGACGAACTTCATGTAATATTAATAAAACATATCGAGCATGAAGAGTCTTTAATGAAAAATATATTATTTATTTATATAATAACTTGATTTAATCAAGAAATAAAATTGTTGTTTTTTTTTTTTTTTAAATCTCTGATCTAATAGATGAGATTTCATTATGTACAATACCTCTCCTCGTTGAAAGGCAAGAACCAAAGATTCAAGATGCCCTTTATTAATAGGAAGTTGTATATGTGGTCCTTTATATGATGGTTCAACATTGATCGTTTCTGGTGATGTTGTTTCTAATAATTCGAGTTCTTCAGCTAGAAAATAGATTTATATATATATATTTGTAACTTAAAAAATTCTTTCGAAAGACAAAATACCTGTGCTCGATAAACTTGAAGTACGACGTAATACTTTAGCAATAACAAGTGCATCACGTGGATCTTTTGATACAGCTTGCATAAGATCCAGGAAAAAATTATAAAGCTATTTAAATGTTAAAAACAAAAAAGTAACTCATAGAAAAAAAAAAAAAAATAAAGTAAATAATTACTTTAAGTTGATCTTGTTCTCCAGCATATTCAATATTTTGATAGATTGTCCATGCAGCTTTTCGACGTATTTCAAAAAGAGCTTGTCGTCGTCTGAACCATGATTGAATGATAATAACAGAAGCTAGAGCTATGAAACAAATCATTAGTATTTTTTTACAAAAAACAAAATTATAAAAGGAAAATAAACGTACTGATGTCAGATTTCTTTTTTGCTCTCGTTTTTGATGGAGGACGTGATTGTGCTTGTTCAAGAGGTACAATACTTCGTTGAAGTTTGTATGTTTGAGGACAACAAAAACATATCCAACGTTCAGAAAACATGTTTTTCTTTCAATCGATCATACTTTCTATACGTTAAGATCGACTTGCTTTTTCTTTTCTTTTTGCTTTCTTTAAAACACGCAATTGCGTACTTTTTTTTCTCTGTCTTCTATTTCAAAATCTACTAGTGATAATCTTCTTCCTGTGGCTTCCTTTTCTTCTTCTTCGTCTAACTCATCTCTTTCAACATCATTACTCTTACCGTTTTTTTCTCTCACTTTTTTTTTTCTCGTTTTCTTACATATCTTCTTGCACACTCATGAAACAGATTATATGTGCACGAATGAATATCATAGACATACGCCCCGGCACCGTCTTTCTTTAACACAGACACGATTCTGTTTTATATTCTCTTCATATTTTCTTTAATTTTGACGTTATATGTTCTCTACCAGGTGAATCTTTAAATTATGTGTAGTTTTTCTTTCTAAAAAGAAAAAAAAAACAAAGCATATAAATTCATTGTAATGTTGTAATTTATTAATCTGATAAAAATAAAACTCTGGATTGGAATATTTCTATGATATTGCTTCTATTGAATATAGATAATTCACAATAATAGAGAATGATTATAAATAGGTGTCATAAGAATCAAGAAAATCTATTAATTCCACAAAACAATGTCAAGTATTTTTTTTTAATCATGAAGTGCATTAATTAATATAAGTTTTTTGAAATGTTTGTCTTTCTCTAAAATCTGCGTCAAATTTATAATGAATATTTAAGAAGTGGATAGACACTAATAGAAATAACCATGACAATTAAAATGATGAGTTTTGTTTTCACCTGAGTCTAATGTCAAAGATAGACAAGAGTGTCCCAAGGTCATCAAGAGTGGGAGGAAGATGATTGCACAAAAAAAAAATAATAGAGTGGTGGAACTTCGCTAGAAAAAAATGAAAGGTTTTCAAGATTAAGGGTCGATCGTTCCTCGCTCAGGATACTCCTTAAAATAGATTTATCCGATTTTCCGGCTTGTGATTAAGATCAAAGAAGAGATAAATAAAGCTGTAAAAATCGAGTCTCAGATTAAAATTGCGATGTATTCATAAGTACGTCATAAAGATGAGTATCATCTGTTAATAGAAATATATGTTATGTAATATCATAGAAAGATCAAAGTAGAAAATTTTCATGTAGATTTCATCTGACGTCTTTTATAGATTGAACAAGAATAATGATGTGTAATTTTATTGTTAATCTGTATAAAAACAGTGTGTGTGTACCTCATAGGAAATGAATTTCGTATTACGTGTTTTGATAATTAATTTTAATTTGAAATATATTTGACGTATATTTATTTTCTTGTGAAATATTTATATCTGATTGAAAGTATTAATATGAGACTTTCAAATAGGTAAATAGACTGATTAAAAGGTTGTTATACAATTATGATTTCGAAATATGTGCTAATTTACTCATAATAAAAAGACGAATATGAGAGTTCATATAAATGAATAAAGAAATGAGCTTTAAATTGTAGTCATGTATGATATAATCGATCTGTTGGTATCAAAAATTTAAAAAAGTAAGTTTATATGACGTTCTTGAGTTGTTCATCAAACTGTTTCCTGTAACAGGAAAGCTAATCTACCTTCATTTAGATCTAATGTAGGAAACCATATATTTAATTATTAAAATTATGACTTGATGATGCTCAGGTGTTCTATTACACAATCGACGCTATTGATTTTAGCGTAGTATCATTTACGTTGTTATCTGTGTAGGCTTTAGACATTTTATAAAAATAATATGTGAGTCGTGACATGTGTGAAAAAAATTGAAAGTAATAATAATAAAAGAAAAAAACAAGAGCTGGATAAGTAAACCTGGAAATGTACCAACTTTACACAGCATGAGGTCATACCTCGATTTTTTCAACATGCGACAAATAAAATAAAGTTTGTCGTATAAACTTTTAGTGATTGCTCAAAGTCATGCCAGAAGCTGAATTCTTGCCTTTAACAAAACTGAATTTTCAACAATAATTAATTTGATAGTATTAAAAGTCTGATGATGAACACTATTTTTTTTTTGGCTTTTCAAACGATGTTGACTATCGGTAGTATGAAATTTGTATGATTATATATGAGTATCATGTAGCCGGAGATATTTATCGTTAAAATTATTTGTTCCCGTTCATCCTAAAACTCAGCCATGTGGAAAATCGAACAGACAAAAAAGGATTTGCATACAATAAAAGTTTTTTTAACTGTTGTTTGATTTAAAGATCATAAGGCTATATTTTCAATTTTACAACAGCATATTTTCAATCATTGCTACACATAACACCTGCTTTTTCAATACCTTGATTTTCAAGTAGCGTTCTTTATTGTATTATAATACCCATAAATTAATTTCATGTTGCTTAAAGTTAACTTATTAAAAAAAAACATAGACATTGCATAAGTCCGGTTTTGCAAACAAAATTGATGGATCCTTTGGTTACAGAGCTCGTATATATGTACAAGTTGAGCTTTGCTCGAACTACTACTTCTATTTCAGCCTATCCTACAAGGGTTATACTTAACGGTGTAACGACAAGTTATCAGTCTTGAGGCGTATTATAAAGCGTTTCACTGGTAAGATATCATCTGAAAAGTCAACGCGGAAGTTACGTCAATAGTTTTGTAAAAACCTTACCTACTCTGTTTCGTAGAATTACCCTGTAGAACTCTACTAGTTAGTCAGATCGTAAAAGTCATGACACATTACTAGCACCATGATGCCATTGACCACTATGAATATGCGTGTATATATGTTGTTTCTAGGTTTTTGATTTATAGAAAAAATTCACCGCAGCCAGCGAACCAACCGATTTTCATTAGTTTTTTGTTATTGATTTTTCAGGGTACTAAAGCTGACTTGTTTTGTTCATTTTTAATTATTTCCATATTTTTAATGATTCAGAGACATAAGCCTGAAAGTTTCTACCAGCAAATATCTAGTCGTCGTGAAAATCGCAGTTCTAAATATCGAGCTAACACTTTCTTATCCTACGATAGTATAAAATATTAGAAAAGATTTCGTTCTGTTGTGTCAAGATCTTGCCAACTACTAGCATCATACAACTGTGAAAATATTTAAATATTAAGAAACGTTACAACAGGACGTCTAATATATAAACCGTACTATCTGTCTATTGGCAATAATATCATTTTTCAATTTGAGATTCCCTCTCAGCTATGCTAGTTAATTATTTCAAATAAAAATAGATTAAATTTTTCAATTGTAAAGCAATTATATCATTATTGAACAAAGTCAATGAAGCAATAGACTGTTGCTGGAAAGAATTGATTACCTAACTGATTTATTAAATGGACCAGTTTTCTGCCGATTAAGTCAAGAATTTCAACCGATCAAGTCCCAATATAATGTAGTTTTTCTGTGATGATTGACTACATATTTTAGTTCTTGTATAAAATTATCTATTGTACAAGTTTCAAATAAACTTGTGCAGTAATATGCAAAAAGACGCCTATTAAAAGTAATAAATCTATATTAATTAAAACAATATCTAATTTTTAATCTTTTATTATTTTTTTATTAAAACTATCCATATAGAAGAGAAAAAGAAATTTTTATTTATAGAAAATATCTGATAAAATAATGATTATATATCAAAATATGTTTGAATAGCCCAATGATCTGAACAATAACGTTTTATTGATGGTAATTTTTCAAGACCTTCAAGTTCAAAATAGACTGGCTTAAATTGTATTGCATTTTCTTTAGATGGACGATAATAAAGACGATCAAAACGTGCTCGAGGTCGATAAGTATTAGATGGATAATAAACATTTGTATTTCGATTCATATCCCATGTATATGTACATTCTTTACGTTTGCCTGTTTCAATCCAAAGATCAACAATACCTGATGGTATATCACCTGCTTTTTGAAGCTAAAATTAATCAGAAATTATTTATTAATAAATGCAAAAAGTTTTTATTTGCAAAACAGTTTATAAATTGTTCTCCTTCAATGTCGCCAATCTGAGTAGAAGAAATCCAATGGTGCATAGTGTGTATATTTTCCGTGGTTGTGGAACATATAACTTTCGTTCTCAAAAACGGATTTCTTCAATTAGAAAATGTCTTTTGTCATATATCAGTAGATGTAATTTTACGCGCAAACTTCGAATATAACGTAGATGTTCAATAGAAATACTTTGGAATCTGAAAAAAATTTTTTAGCGGAAACACTTAGGCTTTTTTGAGAACTCACAGAATAGAATATAACACTGCTTTCAAGTAAATAAATACCCTTGAGTGATTCGAACAGCTAGATCTTTGCTACTGACGAGGGAACATATTCAACTGTCAAATCGCTTTTGGATCGGGCATGTGCGCAAACAATAGACCTCAGTGAGTTATTAAATGCCCTAGAATAGTTTGGTTTTCCAGTCTTCTGTTGTCGAGTTATGGGCCTTTTGCTCGATTTTGGCTTATAGGCATAAGATTCTTCTGAGTACCTGAATGATCGAATTTCAAACTGAAACTTTGCCCATAGATAAAACTTATAAGCACTAAAAACTCCCCAAAGTTTGAGCCAGAACGAACGCATCCTTATCGAGATATCAGCTTGCCATGAAAATGCCTCTATTTTGAAACACAGCTGAAAACTGGGCGTTTCTTTAAAATGTGAATATCTCGATAAGGATACATTTATTCTGGCTCAAACTTTGAGGAGTTTCTAGTGCTTATAAGGCAAATCTATGGACAAAATTTCAGTTTGAAATTCGATCATTCAGGTACTCAGAAGAATCTTATGCCCATAAGCCAAAATCGAGTAAAAGGCCCATAACTCGACAACAGAAGGCTGGAAAACCAAACCATTCTAGGGCATTTAATAACTCACTGAGGTCTATTGTTTGCGCACATGCCCGATCCAAAAGCGATTTGACAGTTGAATATGTTCCCTCGTGAGATATCGAATTTTTTCTGTAGAGCTCCAGTTTTCAAGCGAAATCATACTTTTGAATTTTGATCTGAATCTTTACTCACATCAAGATAACAATTAGACTACTAGATAAAAAAAAGTTCCAAGAGTTTTTCGAGCAATAATAGCAAAGCGCCTAAATTTTTAAAAATTGATGTCTTGGAGAGACTTGGTGAAAAAATTTTCTGAATTTTTTCTGCAAACTAGTCTAATCAGTGCCCTTATGTGGGCAAGTTTTCAACTAAAACTCCAAAAGTATGATCTTACTTGAAAACTAGGGATCTACAGAAAAATCGACTAAAAATACGATATCTCAGTAACAAAGATGCGCCCGTTCGAATCACTCGTGGATATTTACTTACTCATTAGATTCTCTCTATTGAATATAACTCCAGCTTAAAAGTGATTTATCACTTGAAAACATTCCTTCGTTAGTTATTGTGCGGTAGCAATAACTAATTTCAAAGTTGGATTGACTTTTTCTTACAATTAAAATACGTGTATCTCGATATAATGAACTTTCCAAGAGCTAATTTTTATATGTTAAGTTATCCTGTATGACCTTTGTTCAGAAGTATCAATAAAAGAGTAGCATGAGAGACATGGTGGAGTACGAAAAAAATGTTCTTCTAACCAAATGAGAAGTTCAAAACTGAGTCCCAACGGTACAAATTCTTCTTCAAAACCTCTAGAAAACTGTTATTAAAGAGAAAACTTTTTTTGGACTCCAATCTTGCTGTAAATTCTACTATAGATTGAAAAATTATATACATCGAATGTTCTTACTTCTTTCTCACGTATATTCAAATCACCACCAAATAAAACAATTCGATGTGATGGAGAATCAAGCATATGTTTAAAACATAATTTTAATTGTTCAATACGTTCTTTACTTGCTATTTCTTCTGTACCACTTTCATGATGAGATGTCATTAAATCAATTTCAATTGAATTTTTATACATTGTCTATTTAAAACAAAAAAAATATCTAAGTATTAATAAATAAATTACAAAGAAATATATACATGAACTATAAGTAAATTTCTTTCCATGTTTGTTCCTGGATATTTTATAATTTCGATATTTTGTACTTTCAATAATTCACGACGAGTTAAAATAACTACAAAATAACCTTGAGTATTTCCTAAAGAAACGAATAAAATTATCAAAGATTATATTTTAAAAAAAAAACTAACCAGTATATGAATCATATTCAGGTAAAAGATTACGAATTAAATCAAATGCTATTGGAATAACTTCTTGAAGAAATACAGCGTCTGGTTCTTCTCTAGAAAAATAAAATTCTATAAAAAAAAAAAAAAATTCAAATTCAAAAATTATTACCGTTTAATAACATCAATAACTCCTCGTGTTCGTATTTCAATTGTATTTTCTTGTTCATCAAGTCCATCAATATTCCATGAAAGCAGTTTAAAACGTGCTTTAACTTTCGTTTTATCATATTTCGATTCTGTTAAAGTTGTAGATTCTTTAGATTTTATTCGTTTTAAATCTGATTCACTGTAGAAGAAAATAAAATAAAATAAAATTTTTCATATTAAAGAAATTTTAACTAACGATGTTTGATTTCGATTTTTAGATTTTGGTTTATCATTTGTTAAACCTTGATAAGCATTTATAGCACGTTCTAGATCCCATTCATTATTTTGTAACATCATCATAGCTAAACCTGTATCTGTATTTGTTACTGAAGCAAATTGTTTACATGCTGCTAATGCTTCAGCACCACTTAATGGACAATCAACTCCATCATCATCATCCTCACTTGATGATGAAGTCGATGGATGACGTTTAAGTACAGTAGACATTATTTCAAAGTAAAAAAAAAAATTCTTAAATAAAGTTAAATTCGTATTTCAATTGAATCCAATGTATATCGCAATTAATTTTGTAAGCCAATAACACTTTAAAATTTTTGGAAACACCATTGACTAGCGACCTCGCTATGTTTATTTAAGAAAATCATTTATTGACATGTAATAGTTAAGCAAGTAATAATTAATAAAAGATTTTAAAAAAATAGTTTATGAATAGTTTTTTCTTCATTGTTAAATATTCAATGATTTCATTTGATATTTACTAGTAACTTTTTCTTATCAATAGAATAACTGTCAAGATTAATAAAAATATTGAATTTCATTGAAATTAAAATCAATAGACTTTTAAAATTCAAGTGAAAAGAATAGTGAAAAATAGAAACTAGCATCGAACTTCGAAATTTGACTCTGTCGGAGTTACATCAATCGAATATTGTTTATTCTTCATATGTTAAATAATGAACAAAAAAATTATCTACTGTATAGGTTCATAAATAAGTTTCAAGAAAAAAGATATCAGAGAGATATTCCCATAAACATGTAGTCCAAAAAGAAATTTCAAAGTTTCTCATAATCAGAATGAAAAAGTTTGATTCTTAATAGACATCAATTACATGATAGTTTTCTTTTGACAAAAACCAATCTTCATAAAATATCTGAATTTTAAGCTTCTTTTTTTCTCTTTTAAATCGAAACCTATAAATTACTGATAATCATTCGAACATCTGTTAACATATAAGATTTTTATCATATAATAAGTGAGAGACAAGAAAAAAAAGAACCATTTGTCAAAATCAAATACATGGAATATGACAAGTAACTAGTCTATGTTATATGATTTTCCAATGGGAATAAATTAATTGAAAATGAATTTTTTATTTTCTAAAAAAAAAGCAATAAAAATCACATTTAGCATCATATTAAAAGCGTGTATGATTCTAATTTATTATCGGTGTGCAAGACCGACGACAATAAATAACTTTTATCTTCGTTTCTTTTCCTTTTCTAGTCATTTTTCATATTAGTCGAAATGATAATATTAATGACATTGGATATTCTCATGAGATAAAATCAAGGTATATTTTGTTGCTATCTATTTCACATTCATCAACAACTTCATGAGTCAATTATATTTTATGTCAATGTATTGATTATTGAATTTATTTTTCATATATATGTATATGGTTGTTATTATTCATTTCATTTATTCACTATGTTAAACGATAGTAAGTCGTTTTCGATTGAATATTTAATAGCAAAAGCATCATCACCATCACCAACACATTGTGTTTTATTTCATACAAATAATGAACAAAAATCTCAAACAAAAATTAGCTCATCATCATCATCATTGGATTTCAAACGTATGCGTACAGCATTTACCAGTATACAATTACTTGAATTAGAACGAGAATTTTCTTCAAATATGTATTTATCACGTTTACGTCGAATTGAAATAGCATCATGTCTTGGTTTAACAGAAAAACAAGTAAAAGTAATTATATTTTTAATTTTTTTTTAATTTTTCTTGAAAATAATAAATATTAGATTTGGTTTCAAAATCGTCGTGTTAAATATAAAAAACAACGAACAACTACTTCATCGGAAAAGAAAAATTTACGAACATATCATACAGTTCAACAAACAAATGAAAAACATATGATTTTATATAATGATAATAAAAAATAGAATGTATATGTGTATGTGAAACATCATTGTCATTATTTTATTCTTATAAAAATAAAAGATTATTTTATCTATTAAAAAATAAAAAAATTTTAAAATGATCTATATCAAATGAACGTAATAAATGTTTAAGCAACTATTCAAATCAAGGAAAACTGTATATAATAGACTACAGGTCATATTTTTGTTTCCTAATTAACCCTTTGGGGACGGAATTATTTTTCAATTGAAAAATGGTTCTTTCGTCAATTTATTGTATGTGGATCAAAATGATTACATAAAAGCTTTATGACAATTCATCAAAATAAGAAAGGAAGTGATCATGATGTCAGTGTATAGAGCAGAAAGAAAAGAGAAGATATGAGAAGCATCTATATGACAGAAAGAAAGAGAGGAAAGATATGCATGCGATGGTAGCCGGAACGACCTATTACCTTACAGATTATAATAGTTTTACGAAAAACAAACATTTTCCTTACTGGAAAATAGGTGGTACAACCCTTGTACCACCGGTCCCAAAAAGTTAATAATATAACATTATAAACTCAATGCATATGAGAGAAAAGTGTGGGATGCAGACTTCGAACTAGACCGGTAAACCAGTTCGATTCGGTTGAAATTTTCAAACCGGTCGGCTTTCACCGTATTTTTTGTCAGTTTTTACGACACTGAAGCTAGTCTATTTACCTAGGGGTACCCAAAAGTAGTGGCGGTCGCATCTCAATTTCGTATAGAAGGCTTGATGAAATTTTCTGTTTTTATGAGACGATAGAGAAAATGAAGCTCTATTTTTCTGTGCTATTTCATCTCTATTCAGCTGTTATCCTAATAATGAAATTTCGATAAGAACTGTTTTTTGTGTAAAACTTCACTAACGCGNTTCGTTTAACGTTTTTCCTTAACTTTCTACACAAATAAGTTTGATTATGATTTTACAGAGAATTTCACGGCGCATCTTTTGAAAAAACAATTAGCTCTAAAGAACAAAAAGAAAAAAAGTTATAGTCAAAATACTGAATAGGGCCATTTAATCTGGCTCATCCGTTATTTTTCCTTTCAATCGAACCTTAATTTTCATTGATTTCTATTAATTATGATAGGTTGTTCAACAACTTTATATTAAAAATCATGATATACATAGTATTCGTATTATCTTATCTACTTTTGATCATCCATCTGTTTTTCGATTACGTGAAGCATGGCGAATGTTTCGTGTACAAAAGCCAAAGTTCTATAGGTAAATGAATTATTTAAAAAAAAAACAATGAAATTTTTTTTTTCGGATTGATCTAGAGCATTGAAATATCTTTGGAATGTTCTTAGTCAAGAAAATAATTGGGATGATTATCATTCATGGCTTGAACAAAAATTTATTAAAGATTGTCTAAATAAAAATCAACCTATGTTACTATTCATTGGATATGTATTATCTAAAATGATCAATGATCATTTTAGATATTATCAAATATCTAATCATAATAAAAATAAAAAATCTTCTCGAGTTAATATGACACTCATTGAATATATTAAATCATCTCCTAAACATTATAAATAAACAAAAAAATATTTTTTTATAATTTTAAAAACAAATTTTTTTCTTCATTAATGTCAAATATAATTCATTTTACTTAATAATATCGACGTCGTTTATAATATTTCATTGCTATAATAGTTATAATTGCACTAAGAATCAGAAAAAATAGACATAAAAATAATAAACCACCAAATTCATTTTTAGTAATTAAACGTGTAGGTCGAAGTTCAGGATCTATAGCATTTGTTTGATTTATCATATAACCTAATGTCCAACCAATATCATTAGAATTAATTGATTTTACAATATGAAAATTTTTTAAATTTTCATCTGTCATTGAATAACCATATTCAAGTAATGTCCAATGATACATTGAATTAAAACATAAAACTACATATAAAACAAAGAATCTAAAATTAATCGAAATAAATATTATTTCATCTTACATGGTCGATATTTATCCGGTTCAGACATATCTGACCATGGTTGACTACATATTGCAGCAATAGCTGCTTTGATTTGATTAAAATTAACTGAATTAAAATCAAAATTTCCATCTTTATTGGGTGATAAACTAACATTTGGAGCTAAATTATTGAATGTTGTGTACCATGCTGAAATTGCAATAAATTTATTTGATGGCGGAATTGGTACTGGTTGATAGACATTATTAAAACTACAATCTTTCGATGTACAAGCTGATTTATTTAAACGTTCTCGTACAGTATCAGAACATACTGAAAAATTCCCCGATCCTCTAAAAGTAAAGCAAATAAAAAATTTTAAAAATTAAAAAAAAAAAATATTCTTACATGAATGAAAATATTGATGATACATTAAGGCTTGGTAATGGTATAGACTGATTTTGAATGCAAGGCGTATTAAATATATCATCATATGTTAAATTTTGGATATAACCAATTTGTAAACATGGTTCATCGATCAACAATGACCCATTTGCATCATTCACAAGTTGACCAAGATAAAGAAGACGTAGTTGCTCAGTTCCGTAGCATAAATATGAATGTGAATATATATCATATTCTGTATCAAACAGATTCATATTAAAACTATCATTTGCAGCATTTGGAGCAATAAAACTTATTTGTGTACTAGCACCTTCAATAAAACCAAAGAATCTTTTTTAGATAAAATCATATTACAATTAACATACCTCCCATATCTGATACACCATATGTTTCTAATGGTTGATTATTTTCTAATAATTTACCCATAAGAATATTTGTTGATATCCAACCAGATAGACCTTCTTCGCTACCACTAATTATTCGAACTTGATTTTCCGGTGCTTTAAAATGAACACCAAGAGTACTAAAATAAGCACGTGTACTATTTAATAAATTCTTAGTATAACTTGAATTTTTCATGTCAAATAAACGAAGACCAGCTGTTCCACCTAGTAAAATATTATTGAAATTATTAAAACAAAAAAAGTCAATTATTATTTATTTACCAAGAAAAATATATGCTCGCCTCTTACGAGTTGATGGTATTTTACTGATACAATCTGTCATTGCTGACTGAAAGTATTGTTGAGCATTATTCTCTGTTGGATCTTTAATTGATGTAATAGGTCCACCAGGTACACTACAAGCTTTAACTTGAGTTACTCGAGATGTTAAACCAAGTCCATCGGATTTATCAGCAGGCCATCTAAATAATTATTCTCTTTTCTTAGTTTCTATCAATAAAATGAAAAATAGAAGTAAATATTACGTATAAAGAAAAATTTTCGAATGTGTTGAACCAGCATCAACAACAACAGCATAATCTTTAAATGGTGTTAATTTAGTATGCCAAATAACTATAAGTGTTATTAACCCAGCAATGGAAAGAATACAAATAAGTATTGATAATATAGAAATCACTTTCAAATGTACTGATGTTAGCATTTCGTTAATAAATTAATCTGAAATAGATTTCATTTTTCGATGCTCATAAAAACATTGAAAAAAAAAAATTTTTTTTCTTCTTTCGTCTCGTTTTCTAAAGAAAACTTTTTGCACAGAAAAAACTTCAATTAGGGAGTAGTATATTTACTTTCTTTTTACTTTTTGAAAGGAAAGGAAAGTCGAAAAACTTTCTTTTTTGTATTTCGTGTTGTAAAAGAGTAAGCCTAATATCGTATTCTGTTCTATAAAGAGAAGATTGAAAAGAAAGTGAAAGAAAATAAGAAGTGGAAGAAAGTAAAACAAGAATCAAAGACAGAAAAAAAGTGAAAACTAGAGCCGATAATACACGCTCACAAGTACTTATATAAGTGTAAGTGTTTGTTCGGTCTCGAACAGGAGACGGACGATATATTTACGCTCCAGTTACATCACAAAGTAATTAGCAACGGAAACTTCGTAACTTTATCAAATGAAAGGCAATGTTTTAAAGATAACAATTGTTTCATAAAGTTTGATCATAGGTAGTCGAGGTCAGGGACTTCAAATCTGTAATCGATTGCTCAAAATTTTGATTTTGATTTTTTAAAGTATAGCTCAAATCCAGATAGTAGTTTTAACAGTCAATGAAGTTTTCTATCTAATGCATTCAATATCAAGATTTTATAGATGAATTATGATGGCAATTAGATAGGTTAATTTTTAATAATTCTATTGCACATCCTTTCAGCATCATAGCTCAACCAATGAACAAAATTTCTTTGAGATTTTATATTTAATATGAGCAGTATGAATTGTTAATATTTTCATCAGAATTTAAAAAAAAAAATCTTTCAGATCATTTTCGTTCCATGCCCGTACTCCCTCTTGTGGGAGATGGTCTAGATATATTTTGATCGTTCCCGTGGAGGAGTACAGGTGTGGATCAAAATTCGATTGAGAGCTGTTTACTAAATCAACCTTTGGAATATTACTAGGAGCCATTCCTAACTTTTTGCGAACTGAAAAAGGACATAATCCGCTCTTCTTTTTTTAAGAAAAGAAGGAGTATTCGAAATATCTATCAGCCTTACTATCTGAGTGACCTCATTATGATGATAACTCTTATATAGATGTATGCATCGAAGTTTCTGCGATGTTATTTTGTGTTCCTAAGTTATTCAAAAAGTAAGAAACTTGAAAAAAAACCATACATTATAAAGTACGGTGAGTCTCAAAGGGTTAAAGAGCACAAAACGAGGAGTGACCACATTTTCTAAGACATTTCATTAATAAAGGTACCGGTGTATAAGACCTTAAATCTGCTACTTTTCTTGGATTTCACTTTCAATAGAATAGAAAGATCGAGTATTACAGTCTTCACATTTTCGTGTGTGTTCATTTTTTATTTTGTTGATTGAAAAAAACATCTTCGAGGACTAAATAGTTTTATGAGATCAATCAGTGCTTGGTGGTTTTGATCATAACTATGGTAACTATATATTTTTTTTCTCTTGAAAATTCGGTATGAAAATTAATAGTATTGATCGACGTAGTTTTTTCATGCTTTACAAAATGACATATCGAATGACCCAGAGGTAATGCTTAATTCTTTATTTGTAGTTTTTTCGTACTGGGTTTTCATCATTTTTTTCGTTAAAAGATGCACCGTAAAATTCTTTACAAAATGTTATAACAGATACATGTCTCGATATTAAAAAAGTACATTTTTCATAATGAAAACTAAATTGTAAATGAATCATCAACAAAAATTTTAGTCTCTGAATTTTGTTGATATTTTATTCAGTTGTTAATGTTCAGTTATTTAACCTTACAATAATAGAAGAAAGTGTAAGTCTTGAGAGAAATGAATTGTCTTCTTTAGAATTGTGCGATAGTAACTAAATAACATATCAACAAAATTTATTTAATTTCTAGACATGTATCAGTTATACCATTTTGTAGAGAATTTCTTAGTGCATCTTTTGATAAAAAAAACATGATAGAGACGATACATGAAAAAATTAGAAATAAAAAATAGACTCATTTCCTCTAGACACGTTCAAATTACCTTTCACGGTAGTAAATAAAATCTTCTACTTAATCTGATGATATGAGAGATATCATTTCTTCTCGAGCTTAACAATAAACAATAAATATCAATATATACATAAATTTATAATGATGTTATTACTCATAACTAATCGACATTATATTGCAATATAGTAATTATTTTTTATATACTACATCTCGTATCCATTATTTCTCACTTAACATATTGTACTCTCCTTTCATATAGTATTATTTTTTGATTTACCAATCAAAACCATTCACATTTAATAAAAAAACATTAAAATGAAGAACTTTATTCTTTGAATAGTTTCTCGTCATAGAAAGAAACAACATTAACTTACAATGACTAGGACCATCTGTTGGATATATAAAATGAAATAGAATGAAGATAAGATAATGATGTAAATGATATACCACAGATCAAAAAGGTAATTGATACAAAAGCCATCCACACGATGATTCTAGAGGAGAGAACTAACCACAGACAATTTAGAATTTTAGAGTTAGAATAAACATGAACTAGATATTTCTTATTAAAATGACCTCGATTATGTGAAATAGTCGATAGAACAAGATACAAAAGATGGCGGTAGTTGATGAGCCGAATTTCAAATGTATTCTAAAATCTGTTTTATTTAACTTTAATATTAATTCTTTATACAATTAAATAATTTTCATATGAAATTATTATTCTTTATATATGTTAAGAGTTTCCAGCAGTTGATTGATTGAATAAATAAACCAATGAAATATTTTTACTTCTAATGCTTTGTTAGTTATATTCAATTCCATTAGAAAAACGTATTAAATAAAGTTTTTGAGGCGTAAATTTTCGAAAGAAATTCATTCATTATCATATAATGGTCGACAGTCTCAATGATGAAGAACGAATTTCTAGTAAAATAATCTTGAAAGATTTCTAAATTAAATATATTATTATTCATAATAGATCGTCGATCGAAACGATCATGTCGTCTATCAATAGTACAATCACAACCAAGTGTAGAACCAAAAGAAAATGAGTCGCTACTCGTCAATGAAAATGATATTGATGAAGAAGATCCACCTGAATTATTTCAAGTAGGTGATATTTTCTGGGTTCATGTTTCAGGTAATCCATGGTGGCCTGCACTCATATACGGTAAATTATAAATTTATTTATTTCACGAAAAATAATATTCTTCTTCTAGGTTCATATTACGAAGATTATATTCATACAAAAATAGTTAAAACTCCTCGTCGACCAAAAAAACGTAAAATTTTTTTTTTCTTCTAATTATAATATTTTGAGAATTTTCTTTTTCATAGGTCTTTATTTTGTTTATTTTTTTGGTCCTGCTTTTGAATATGCATGGATACATGCTAATACATTAATACCCTATTCTGGTCTAGAGGAATTTATTCGACATGCTCAAACATCTGTACAAAAAGTTTGTTTATCTATCTGTGTGTATATTTCGTTCTATTTTATTTTATTTTTATTAAGGCAACAAAAAAATTTGAACAAGAAGCATTAGCAAATCGGTATGAACTTAAAGTAACTGCAAATAAACGACCTGATTGGTAAACATATATTTAATTTAATATAGATTTTAAAATTTTCATACTTATTAGGGATAAAGCTATTGAAGAAGCTGATCAAGCGCTTAAATTAACTCGCGAACAACGTATAGAAAATTTTGCTGAATTATTAAAGAATATTTTAAGTAAAGCTGAAAGTAATATTTACTTTAATTATACGACAAAAAAAAAAAACAAATATTTTATTTTCTCGTATAGAAAATAATGCAAGTAAAAAACGACAAGCTTCCATCACAACACGGCAATCGGTAAATAAAATAAAATTAATATAAAAAACAAAAACAAAATAATTTTCATTTTAGAGAAAAACTGCATCACCATCAACAGATAAATCTTCAAATCGTTCATCAGTAAAAAGACAAAAAACAAAATCAACGGTAATAATGATAAATAGTGCAGATTATTTTCTCTCGATAAATCAGATGATTAGAGCTATTCTAACCATACTTCTAAATGAAATTCAAGTCACCCGAAAGATACTTTTTTCTCGATTTTTTAAAATTCGGTGACTAGCGCACCCTATACATTTCACAAATGACTAGAGCCTATCTGATCTGGAACCAACCCGACAAGTTCTAGAGACGATTCTATAGTATTGATGAAGGATATACCCATTTTTCAGATTCAAACGAGAACTGAGTCCTCCATACAAATTTTTGAAACATTAGATATAATAATGCAATGATTCGTTAATAATCACATCTAATTTTATTCCTGAATGATATAAAATGTTGTCAGATAATTTTCCATATATTTTTCTTTATTATGTTAAAATGACACTTCTGCATTAGAAAATTATTTTAATTGAACTCTCAAAACAAAATTTCGTCTATTTAATATCGTTAAAATGTAATCGAGTTAAATGGTCGTTTACATCACATTTAAATCAAGTATTAAGTATACACTGATCAGTGGATAAAGGCTAATGACAAGGAAAACTGAGCGGAGGATTTGAACAGACGACGTACATTCACACTCTAAAAACAAAAACAAAAAAACAGTGAGCAGTATCGAATTATTCTGACATCTAGAAAATGTATCTTTGCTTCATAAAAAAAAGACACTTTGTTGTTTGAAAATATGTAGCGTCCTTTTGAATAATCTGAAGGCTATTCACAATAGAGAAGTTATATTGTAATTTGAAATGCGTTTGATGTATAATCTGATGAGAAGGACTAAGCGTTTTTTATCCTAGCTTCTCGCTGAGTAATATGTTTACTATAAAAAAATACGATATTATTTTCTAGCAATGTCAATGAACTTCAATGTCCTTCCGATAACGACTCTGTTGTTTACGGAGAAAAAAAAATGGTTAATTTTACTATCAAAATTATAAAACGAAATATTGAAATGATTGTTACTCATTAATTTTTGCATAAAATTTTAGAACACATAAGTTGTGAGAATATGGCATTTGATGCGAGTTTTACACAACTATAATAGATAGAACTCTCAAATGAAGAAGTTTTGGTTCTAATCCCGGTCACCTTTTCATATCTTGACTCTTGAACTATCCACTGGAAGAAGAAAACCGATATGAGACAAATGAAAAATGTATTACTTTTCTTATCCTAAATCAGAAATAATTACGCATGTCTTGTTTTTTATTAGGCTACGTCAACATCAACAACACTATTACATGTTGGTTTACCAACATTAACAAAAAAAGAAGAAAAACGTATTGTAGATAATCTCCTTGAACATTCAAAACAAGAACAATTAACATTGGATGAAGCTCAATCATTTGTTTGTCAATTAGCTACTGAAATAATAAAAGAAAATTTTCATTATGATATGTCATGTGTACAAATTGAATGGTTCTATGGTAAATTGAATAAAATTTTTTTGTTTTGTTGAAAAAAAAAAATTTTTTTTTCTAGATTTTCTTTTAAATCATTCAGAAATTATTTTGAAATATTCTCATTGGCTTAATAAAGATATAGAAGCAATAAAAGATGATCCAATTTATTTAAAACAATGTCAATTAAAAAATATGATTGAAAATCAAAAGAAATAATCTCTCTCGTATTCTCATTTTTTTCTGTGTCTAGTATTAATTGTATATCTATGAAATTGACTTCTTTTTTTTTTCGTTATTTATGTAAAAACAGAAATAAACAATCAATCTATTTTTTTTTTTTTTTTTGGTGTTTCTTGATATATTATTGTAGATGACAAATTCATCAGATAAATGTATATGTTATATTAATGATAAAATTGATTATTAATTATATCTTATTTAGATACAAATCAATTAAAACGTAAACAATATGATGATAATATTTTAGAATCATCAATATTTGATATTTTCGAAAATGAATTTCAAATTGGAGATATTGTTTGGGCGAAATTAAATGGACTTTCATGGTAGGATTTACATTTGAAGTGTATATTTCTACAATATAACTGTCGAGTAGTTCTTAAAATTCAGTCACGTTTTGATAGCGGGGACAAACTTAGAATGTTACTATTAAAATAGTGGCGAAACTAGGGGTGGGCATGCCCGGGCACCGGTCAAAAGAAAAATGACACCTCTCATCGGAACATCTTTTGTCGCATAATCAAAAGCACTGAGAACCATTCGTAAGTCTTACAAATACGATAAAAACTAGACACGTTGATGAGTAGGCAGTATTTGTTCTCTGTTTACATGGTCCGTTTTTCTTTTTTCTGCTTGATTTTACTCCACAAAAAGAAAATACATTTAGGACTTCGAATATGCCTTGAA